GAGAAAAATAACCCAGTGTTTGAATCAATTACAGTATCCCTCTTAGCAGAAATGGGAACAGTTGGACAATAGATACTTTCTGGAGTTGTTAGAATCAGTAAAAGCATAATCGAAAATAAAATTTTCTTCAGGCTGAGCAACGAACATACCTGAAAAAGATAATTTGTTTAGGCTTGATTTTTCAAGAGCTTGTATTTAAATCTATCAATAGGTCTCTGTGGTTTAGAACTACATGTATCAGTTACTGAAGCAAGTGAAATATTAGATGGAAGGGAAGCAGTTTATCTAACCAAGGGCCTCATCAGATAATGTCATCAGCATCAAAGCCTCATGGCTTGAATAAAGAACCCCCATCACTCATCTGAGGACTCTAGATTCTTAGACAGCTTTATACCCGAAAACAGAAGGATTCTGATGTGAGTCTACAACTGACTACAGTAAAAAATAGCAAACATCAATGATCAAAAAGTGTAGAATAAGAAATTTCAAGAAACATACAGACAGGTGAAAAAACCAATTGCACCAGCATACGCACTAAAGAAAGATATCGACAGATAATGAGTATGATTCAATGGAAATTGGCCAAAGAGCTAGAACGTGCATCATTCACATGATAGTTCATCTTTAATGAGTATGATTCAATGGAAATTGGCCAAAGAGCTAGAACGTGCATCATTCACATGATAGTTCATCTTCATAAATTTTCTTTAAATTAAAGATCGCCAAAGAGCTAGAACGTGCATCATTCACATGATAGTTCATCTTCATAAATTTTCTTTAAATTAAAGATTCAGACAAGCCCAGGAATTGATGGGTCACTATGAACTCAAAAAAATTGTGTTCCAAGCTATGTGTTCTGGAAGACAACCAACCAAACAAAATTAACCAAAAACCATGGAACCTTTTCATGCATGCATATCACTAGCCGCAGCTGCAACATTTTGGTTTGTGTGTGCGCGTGTGCGCGTGTGCGCGTACACACGTGTGATGTATGTGTGCGATGTATGTATGCATGTATTTATGTTTTGTATTAATGCATGTATGTACATAAGCATGTATTTATGTATGTGATGCATGAATGAATGTATGTATGCATTCATGCAATATATGTGATGCATGCATGTTTGTATGTATGATATGCGCATGTATGCGATGTACTGTGTACGTGATGAATGTATGTATGTAATGTATAAATGTATGTGTATATGTTGTATATATGTCACGTGCGAATGCGATGTGATGCGATAAAGAAAAACATTGTTATTGGATTTCCACCTACCATTCCTTGGCATAAAATCTTACCCATTCCCGGCTGTCAACTGTGACCAAAGAACGAAGAAGGTCATTCAGATAAGGGTGCAAAATAACACCTTACCTTTCAAGTCAGCAAGCACCTTCGAAAGTAATGCAGAGACAAAGGATGCAAGCAAACCTTTGGTGATTGTAGCACACGTCCATCAAACTGTCTAAACTGTGTGCTGACAAATACACTGCATGCTCGAAGCATAGGATCAGTGCATAGTTGTTGTACTTCAATGCCTACTTAATGGAAGTTTAATGGTAGTCCATTGTTTATATATATGTTCAGACATTATAAAAAGTACTTACATTGCTCACAAGCGACATTTTCTCTTGAGTTTAATGCCTCGACTTCTCAACAAGCAACGATCATCAGAGCATCATAATCTCCAGAATACCTCAGTTCTATATTTCTGTGTTTGACAAACTAGTCAAAAACAGCAATTTTCTGTCGTGTGAACATCACAATCTCTGTTAGCATCTGTGCCAGTTCTTTGTTTCAAAAAAATCTCTAAGCAAATAATAATGAGACCAGGGAAGCACTTGCAAAGATGACAATCAAACAACATAGTTTACATTCCTTGATTGGTATAGTGAACACAAGAGAAAAAGGATGGGAAGTGTTGAAGATCTGCAAATTTTGTCTGAAAATTGAATATAACATATAAAAGAATTACCAGCTAAACACAGAAATTTTCGCTGTTCTGTACAGAAAATCTGAAATGATACAACTTCGAAGTGATAACCAGGCACAGAAATAGCAGCATTTCTTATTTCTATGTTAGGGGTGATTTGCCTTGGTGCAACAAACGATAATGAGGATCAGAAGTCACATGCATAATGAGTTACAGACATCAGATAAGAGAAGGTAAATTGGTTGGTTGCTAAAATGATACCCACCCTGTCTCCCTAAAATGATAATGAGAATCAATAGTAACATGTATAGCGAGTAGTAGATGAATTTCAGAAGAAATAAGTTTAGAAGTCATACCACGGAACCCTGCCACAATCTACAATTCAATCAAGTTGAGAAGTCACTCAACATTGCTGCAATCTTTTTTATGACTATTCTAGTATTCCTACAAGTTAAATCACATCATCAGTTCGGAAGACAATGAACTAATTGAAGCTAACAGAAAACTTGGGCATACCATATGAAATTAAGGATAAATAAAGGTTTAGAAGTCATACCATGGAACCGTACGCTATCACATTTCCGTCAAGTTGAGAACTCAATTAGCATAACTGGAATCTTTTCAAGCCAATGCCATTTTGGAAGACAACGGACCAAATGAAATGGACTGAAGACTTTGGAGGAAAAGCTTGAATCTGCGGATAAATAAGTTCATGAAACAAGTTAAATACAACATTTAGATTTTGCTTAAATAAAATGTGAAGAACATGAGAGAGCGAGAGCGAGAGCGAGAGAGTGAGTGAGAGAGAGAGAGAGAGAGAGAGAGAGAGAGAGGCACACTCACCTGTGGCAAGTTAATTATTCCATCCCTCATAGCAGAAATCGTGATTGCATAATCAATAAAATTCCAAGTTCAACAATAAAGACAGGCCAAGATCATTACCTCAAACATTATTCTGTGTTATCCTTGCTACACATTTGGGTCTATTCCATCTTGGAGCCAATCTTCTTTCACTGTCACTGATTCTACCCCTTATTTGCGTTGAAAACGAGGAAGCAGAATGCTGATGCTGTCTACCTAAGACCATGTCTACATACAGAACAAGGAAATAGGATGTCATAGATGGAAGTCAACGCTATCTTCTCCAAAATTCTAACTTATAGGAGGAATTGGTGAGTAATATGAACTAAACAAAAAATTGTTACGTTTTGGATGACTGAGAACTTAGGAGTAAGAGGATGAATTTAATGGATAGATAAATCCATGAAATAAATTTGATACAACAATTAGATTGTCAGCAATCAATGCATTGCCGAATGCTTAAAATCTGAAACATAATGCAACAATGAGAGTTCAAGATAGAAGTTACAAATAATTTTATGTGAAAGTGAGAACATAGAAGTTGAAATTGCTTCATCCTTGTTACAGAATTTGGTTCGCTCCGATTAGAGCTAGCCGTCATTAGCTGTCATCCATTCCTATGCAAATCAATGAGAAAAATCTAGCTTAAACTTTAAACTGGCAATCAGACTGAGGGGTTAAAGCTCACTAAATTATTTTTAGTATATTTACACAAAATAGGAATTTCTTACTCTGCTTATTCTGTGTAGGACATCATCCTTTACGTTCTGTGAAGACTACTATGGATTTACAAAACCTTATGGTTTCCTTTTGAGCAAGCATATCTCTAGGAATATCTAAATTTAAAATGTCTAAACAAAAAAAGAGTAATCCTTTTTAGCAAATGTCACAGGATCAGTAGAATTTAACAAAGGGTATTCCAGACTCTAAACTTGGGCTGACCTCACCTACCTGATTATTTGTGAGAGGCCAGACTGTTGGAATTAATTAAAAAAGATTGAGTTCTTTAATGAATTTTGTGCAAATATGTTATTTTGAGGGGTACATTTGCATAATGTCTATTCTTATCCTCTCATCTGTAACTCTTCATCATCCTTTCTTCTGTAACGTTTCCTCCGCTCTCTCCTCCTTTTTTTCTGCAAGCTTTTAAAAAAATAAATCCCGATGATTCCGCTCTTATTCCTTTTCCTCCGAGAGAAAATCTCGTCAACGACAACGGTAACGTAGGCGATCTCTCCGGCCTCATCAACGACAACGGAAATTCACAGCGGCTATTAAAAGGGGATCTCAGGAAAAATGAAGAGGACGGAAAAAAAAAGAGCCAAGAAAACAGTGAGCAATTCCCTAATCTCCCTCTTATTCTCTACAATATTTGATTTTTGATTTCAATTTTCGGGCAAAACATCCATTGAGCATTGAGCAGAGATCAAAGTTTCGCAGTAAACTTTGGTGTCGGCTTTCTCGGGGGGTTCTTACCGCTAGGCGTGGTCGCATCAAATCGTCTCTGCGAAGGCGGCGACTATTGTTCTAGGGCAGTGATCACACGATTACCCCTTCTCAGGCCTACGTTTCTAACTTTCTGGAAATTCTATTTTGATTATTTTGCAGTGGTTTTATTTCTAACAATCTAGAACAAGTTTCTAACTTTCTGGAAATTCTATTTTGATTATTTTGCAGTGGTTTTATTTCTAACAATCTAGAACAATAGTTTTACAGCTTTGTTTACTGTTGGAAAAACTATCAAATTGACAGTCATATTTTGGTCAGATCTCAATTTAGAAGTTCTCAATTTCCATAAGATAAACCATTCATTTTCAGTTTACAATAAATCAACCGCTGTTTTTTTTTTTTTACTCCAAGTTAAGGTCTGCTCTTAATCGGAGGGAGAGAGAAAAGGACAGTTGATGAAGTATCAAGAGTTGAGGTGAAGGAAGTAGTTTGATACACGTTTGCAATTACATTGCCACATTCTTTGCATGTCCATCCTTTTGTGATAATCTTGTGTTAAAAAAAATTATATCTGTATTCTTTTAATAAGTTTCAGTTTGCATACAATTCATTTTATTCTTGATAGCATATCATTCTGTGTTTTAATTTTCTTCAATTTTGTAAGCCAGTATCATATAGTTCTAAGTTTGTATCTCACAAGCAATTCTTTCTCAGATCCTTGAATTGCCAAGACTAGCAATTTTATTTTCAGAATTTATGGCTAGTTCCGATATGTCTAAGTCAGCCAAACCTGAGAAGTTCACCGGCTTGAACTACAAACGGTGGGCTAATCAGATGAAATATTGGCTTACAACTTTAGAACTTATTTCTGCTATTGACTCTGATTTTTCTCTATCAACACCTACGCCCTCTTCATCATCACAAGCTGAACCTACCTCCACACCTACCACATCATCCGGGGTTTCCAAATCTCCTGAGGAAATAAACTTTCATTGTTACAACCGAATCCTTAGTGCTCTTTCAGACAAATTGTATGACATTTATTATGAGTATAAGGATGCAAAAGAATTGTGGGTAGCACTAGAGTCTGAATATGGTTTAGATGATGCTGGTATAGAACGTTTCTCATCCTCCTCCTTTAATAAGTTTGTTATGGTAGATAGTAAACCCATCAATGATCAGCTTCATGAATTTCAAGACTACATCCGATACCTTCAGTCGAAAGGAAATACTTTCTCTAAAGAATATAAGGTATCTAGTCTTATTGATAAACTTCCTCCTTCTTGGTCTGATTTTGCTAAAAATCTCTGTCATCTACAAGGTGACTTGACCCTTGTACAAGCCCTCAAATGTATTAGGATAGAGGATCAACATAGGCAAAACTCCAAACCAAAAAATGAAATGAAAGCAAAAGTAAACCTAGTGGAAGAAAAGCCTAAGAACTTTAGAAACCCAAATCAAACCTAGTTGGGGAAAAGCCTAAGAACTTTAGAGGAGCAAATATTCATATTTCTTCTGATCGCTCTTGGTTTTCAACTTATCAGGAATCAAGTGGAGGAAATATAATTCTAGCAGATGACTCGACTAGACAAGTAATGGGAAGTGGACGTGTAGACCTAAAGATGACTTCCGGAAAGATTTTGACTCTCCACAATGTCCTACATGTACCATTACTTAGAAGAAATCTGATTAGTGAATCTGTTTTATTGAAAGTTGGATTCAGAATTGTTAAAGAGTCAAATAAGTTTGTAATTACCAAGAATGATATATTCATTGGTAAAGGTTTTGTTTGTGATGGTCTTTTTAAGTTGAATATAATAAGATCCTCTGATAATAAAAGTTCTTCTTCCATAATTTTAAATGTTGAATCTTGTGACAAATGGCATGGAAGGTTAGGACACATAAACTATGGAACCATTAGAAAAATGACATCCTTGAACTTGATACCCAAAACCAAAATTACCAAGAATGATATATTCATTGGTAAAGGTTTTGTTTGTGATGGTCTTTTTAAGTTGAATGTAATAAGATCCTCTGATAATAAAAGTTCTTCCATAATTTTAAATGTTGAATCTTGTGACAAATGGCATGGAAGGTTAGGACACATAAACTATGGAACCATTAGAAAAATGACATCCTTGAACTTGATACCCAAAACCAGGATAGATCCACCTTCTAAGTGTGAGATATGTGTTCAAGCTAAAACTATTAGAAAACCTTTTCACTCTATTCATAGAGATTCTGAACCTCTAGAACTCATACATAGTGATGTTTGTGATTCAAACAGAATTCTTACTAGGGGAGGAAGAAGATATTTTGTAACCTTCATAGATGATCATTCAAAGTATTGTTATACATATCTTCTCAAAACTAAAGATGAAGTCTTAGAAAAGTTTAAGATATATAAAGCAGAAGCTGAGAATCAAATTGAGAAGAAAATAAAGATCCTAAGATCGGATCGTGGGGGGGAGTATACCTCAAATAACATGACCGAATATTGCCAAGAACACGGTATTATTCATGAGGTGACTGCTCCCTACACACCGCAATCCAATGGAATTGCTGAAAGGAAGAATAGAACTCTCATGGATATGGTAAATTGTATGCTTCTCAGCTCAGGAGCACCTGAAAACCTATGGGGTGAAGCACTCCTATCTGCTTGCTACATTCTTAATAGGGTACCTCACAAAATATCTGATATCTCTCCCTATGAACTTTGGAAGGGTAGAACACCTAGGATAGATTATCTTAAGGTTTGAGGATGTCTAGCTAAGATAGGGATACCTGAACCTAAGAAAAGGAAAATTGGTTCAAAAACTGTTGATGCTGTATTTATTGGATATGCATTAGATAGCAACGCAAACCGGTTTTTAGTAGTCAACTCAGATATTAGTGATATAACCAATAACACTATTATTGAGGCTCGAGATGCTGTATAGTTTGAAGATATATTCCCTTTCAAGACTAGGATTCTTAGTGAGCTCTCTTCTTTTTCCCCTTCTAGATTTGCCTCATCTTCTAGTACTCCACAATCGATAGAAGTAGAACCCAGAAGAAGCAAGAGAGGAAGAATCGAAAAGAACTTCGGAGAAGAGTTCTTTACTTTTTTGGTTGAAGGTGATCCAAACACATACCATGAAGCCATGGATTCTTCTGAAGCCCAATTTTGAAAAGAAGTCATAGATAGTGAAATTAAATCTATTATAGAAAATAACACATGGGTTTTAACTGACTTACCTCCAGGATGTAAACCAATTGGTTGTAGATGGATTTTCAAAAAGAAATTAAGACCTGATGGAACCATTGAGAAATATAAAGGTAGACTAGTAGTAGCAAAAGGGTATACTCAGAAAAAGGGTATTGATTATTTTGACACATACTCACCTGTAGCTAGGATTTCTTCTATTAGAGTTCTTCTAGCCTTAGCTTCTATTCACAAGATGATTATTCACCAAATGGATGTTAAAACCGCTTTCTTAAATGGTGATCTCGAAGAAGAGATTTATATGGATCAACCGGAAGGGTTCATAGCCAAAGGTCAAGAAAGAAAGATTTGCAGATTGATGAAATCTTTATATGGGCTTAAACAAGCTCCTAAACAATGGCATCAAAAATTTAACAAAATCATTATAGAATATGGTTTTTCTATCAATGAGTTTGATAAATGTGTTTACTCAAAAGTTATTCACAATGATTGTGTCATCTTGTGTTTGTATGTAGATGATATTCTCATCTTTGGGACTTCAATCGAAATCGTTCTAGAAGCTAAAAATCATTTATCAAAGAATTTTGACATGAAAGATCTTGGAGAAGCTGATTTGATTCTTGGAATGAAAATCTCCAAAACTCCTAAGGGCATTTCTTTGAGTCTATCCCATAGCATAGAGAAAATGTTAGAGAAATTTGATTTTCATAAGTGCAAACCTGTGAGTACACCTTATGATTCCTCAATCACCTTGAACAAACATGATGGTGAACCTATATCCCAACATAGATATTCACAATTAATAGGCTCTCTTCTTTATGTGTCAAACCGAACCAGACTTGACATTGCTTATGCAGTAGGTAGACTAAGTAGATACACTAGTAACCCAAGTCAGGAACACTGGAATGCATTAGAAAGTCTTTAGATATTTAAGAGGTACAACAGACTATTGTCTAACTTATTCTGGATACCCTAATGTGATTGAAGGGTATAGTGATGCTAACTGGGTCACTGATTCTGACAATGTGAAGTCTACTTCTGGATTTATTTTTATGCTTGGCGGTGCTGCTATATCTTGGAAATCTTGTAAACAAACAGTGATTGCTAGAAGCACCATGGAGTCTGAACTTATAGCTTTAGATTCTTGCTGCTCAGAAGTTGAATGGTTGAAAAACCTTATATCTGAACTCCCTTTTGTGTCCGGACCTATTCCTCCTATATCTGTTCACACAGACTCCAAGTAGAGTTCACTGACAGCGGGAACCCAACCTTTGATTGATGATGTTATTCTCATGAAAAAGGTTCAAGGTGGTAGAAACAAGCTGGATTGGTGATCTCGTGTGGAGCACTGACCGTCGGAGTTATACTCCTTTTGTAGTGTTGGATGCATTTATGACTTGCACCATGTTAGCTACTCCCTCATTCCTATGGTGACAGTGCTCTTATGATGTGACTGGGTAGGATGAGTTTTACTCTTAATAAGTCCAACCTTTGTGGGGGGTGCAATATCTAGTCACAGTACCCTTGGTGATCTCGTGTGGAGCACTGACCGTCGGAGTTATACTCCTTTTGTAGTGTTGGATGCATTTATGACTTGCACCATGTTAGCTACTCCCTCATTCCTATGGTGACAGTGCTCTTATGATGTGACTGGGTAGGATGAGTTTTACTCTTAATAAGTCCAACCTTTGTGAGGGGTGCAATATCTAGTCACAGTACCCTTGGAGGACTTACCTACGTGAGAGGAACCGTGACGGCCGCGGTTGGGGACATGGGGCTGAGTCCTAGTAACTCTCATGAGACGGTTTTTGTGAGCATGGCCATTATCGCTCCGACCCGCTCGCTCAATAAATGGATGCATATTATGTGTGCTTTTGTTAATTTCTGATCAAGGGGCCTAATTCAAGGTCTAATCCATTATGCCTCTCAGATTGCGACAAATGTCACTAAGCAAAGATTCAAAGCCGAAAGCTATCTTTGCCGAATTCATAATATGAGGTTGTCCGATCTATATTTTATTAACATTATTATTATTGTTGTTATTATTATTATTCTTTTATTCCCTAAAACTCAATATTTTGGGGGGATTGTTGGAATTAATTAAAAAAGATTGAGTTCTTTAATGAATTTTGTGCAAATATGTTATTTTGAGGGGTGCATTTGCATAATGTATATTCTTATCCTCTCATCTGTAACTCTTCATCATCCTTTCTTCTGTAACGTTTCCTCCGCTCTCTCCTCCTTTCTTTCTGCAAGCTTTTAAAAAAATAAATCCCGATGATTCCGCTCTTATTCCTTTTCCTCCGAGAGAAAATCTCGTCAACGACAACGGTAATGTAGGCGATCTCTCCGGCCTCATCAACGACAACGGAAATTCACAGCGGCTATTAAAAGGGGATCTCAGGGAAAATGAAGAGGACGGAAAAAAAAAGAGACAAGAAAACAGTGAGCAATTCCCTAATCTCCCTCTTATTCTCTACAATATTTGATTTTTTATTTCAATTTTCGGGCAAAACATCCATTGAGCAGAGATCAAAGTTTCGCAGTAAACTTTGGTGCCGGCTTTCTCGGGGGGTTCTTACCGCTAGGCGTGGTCGCATCAAATCGTCTCTGCGAAGACGGCGACTATTATTCTAGGGCAGTGATCACACGATTACCCCTTCTCAGGCCTGCGTTTCTAACTTTCTGGAAATTCTATTTTGATTATTTTGCAGTGGTTTTATTTCTAACACAGACATCTTAACTTCACTTTGGCATACCCGTAATCTTTGATAGTAAAGCGTGACAGATCATGTTGGCCATTTGAACCTATGCAGGAAACTAGAGCTCACTTGGGAGAAAAATGCAATAAAATTAATGAAACAAAAATTAATTAGAGAAAATCAACTTAAATTACATCATGCACAATTAGTGCCTCAAGAAATAATCGATCTCATCTTCAAGTATGCTTCCTTGTAAGTTGTAACCAACAAATATGATCCTTAGTTTTTGGTTTCACGAAGATGATCCTTTACGTTGTATTTACATTTTTACTAGTACCCTTGTTCGTTTGATCAGATATGCCCACTTGTTAGAAAAAGAACAGGACCATTTGAGTTATTGAATTGTGCATATTTCAATGATGTTGCGAAACAACCAAAACACGCAACAGGAGAAAGAAAGGCAGTACCATATCTAGAACCTCATGTAGACACATTTCATGAAAAGTGACCATGGATCAGAGAAAGGAATATGATAGAGTTGGAAGCTTAGGAATATGCAT